CTGGTTTAGCTGATCACAAATTGCTCAGACAGAACAAACAAGCTTGAAATTTGGTCTCGCTCTCTGTGGGACAGCGACGATGCAACAGTCTTGAGAGAGAGGGTTTTGGCACCTTACTGGAGTTGTCTAGAGTTCCTGCTAGGAAAAGCAAGACTCTGAATTCCAGACATGGTTTTACCCAAACCCCCAGCCTGGCCCCTGGCTAGGAGGGCTTTGGGCCTTGACATTTCTAAATTGTCAAACAGAGGAATGAAGTGGTTCGACTCCTGCTCTTGTCACACCTGCCTGGAGCTCAGGTGATTCCAGGTGGTGAATCCAGGTGTCACTTTTGTGCATTATACACAGATTCAACAGGCTTGTGGTGTTCTGCTAACCCACCTCGGAGCTCCTGACCCAGTGCTGCCTAACACCTGCGTGTGCACGGCCATTCCCTGTCCTGCATGCAGCTCCTGCATCGCCTCCCTCCATGCCTCTGCCTGCCTTGTCTGCCTTCTCCATCCAGCTGTTGGGGATATTTGGGACAGGCCTGCATGTCTGTAGGGTAAACACAGAGAGTATTGCCAGTTAAACTGAAGTGTAAAGTAAAGGGGAGGGAAAAAAATAGGAAATGGGACAAAAATCCTACAGGCCCCCTGATTTTTGACCCTCATAATATAAGTTATATAAGTTAATAAGTTTTTAGCTGCAGGTTTTTCAGGCACCATATTTAACTGGTGTCTAAGCAGAATGAATGGGCAAAGCCAGTAGAAAGCAGCTGACTGTGTGAGCTCAGAGCAGTGTCAGCAGGCTGGCACTTTGAAACTGGTGCACAAGGGAAGGAATAGGATGGACCAGAACCTGTGGCAGTTAATTAACCTGAGAATGGACTGCAGTGCCGTTTGCTCTTGTCCTGTCCCTTGTTCCCTGGGAGAGGAGCCAGACTGTAGGTGCTGCCACACGGTGCAGGGACACAGCTCCCTGTCCCTGTCCCCATGCCACAGAGCTCTCATTGTCCCTCAGAGCTCTGTGCTGCTCCATCAGCGTGAGGTCCTGCCCGTGGGGACCTTCCTGGGGAGCTGCTGGCTCAGGCCCAGGGGTGCCAGGAGCAGCTGCAGCGACAAGGGCAGCATTCCCCAGTGCCACTTCTCAGCTCTGAGTGGTGGGAAAATGTTACACCCCAGAGACTGGGCTTGTGTAACTTGCAGTGTGAGTGGTGTTTGAAAAAACAACTCTGACAGTGACCCCATCAAACATTTCCCATCCAGGTGGGGTCCCTGCAAGGTCCCTGCTCTGGTGGCTTGGAATTTGAACTTGAGCCTTCTTCTGATCAACCCCTCTTTGTCTCTGTATAGACAGACTGGATTAAGAGCTGGTAGTTAAGGTTAAAGGGTGACTTCTAGAAGCTTCTTCCTGAGGGATGGTCTGAGCAGAGTGTGTTAGTACGTCAAACAACATTTCCCAAGCTTTGTTCTGTTGTTCCTTAATAACTTGTCGTGTTGGCTTGAGCTGTGATTTAAGTGTGGCCAGCGGAGCTTCCAGGGACAGTATTCCAGAAAAAGTGGCTGCTTCAAGCTTTGTACTGATTTGTCTGCAGGGCAGGAGAGGGCAGAATGGGGGGGAGGAGGGGGGTAAAGGGAGGGTGGTTATAATTGTTTGGGGAGGGAAAAAAATAAATGAGAATTTCTGTCTAAAAACTGTTAGAAAACATCACCTGGGTCTGCATCAGTCTGAGCAAAACCTCTGGCATGTTCCACAAAGCCACTGGATTCCATATGGTTTCTCCTGCTTCTAGGAATGTGTGGGCTTAGATTGAAATTATCCAGGGGAAATACCCAATTTGGGGGATGTTCTTGGGGCAGGGCAGCAACCAGCCTAGTTCTTCCCCTCAGGCACCTGCTGAAGGACAAGGAGATGTTCAAAGGTGGCAGCTTCTAAAATACCTTTTAGTGGTGGCTGGATGCTGGAGGGGGAGTGACTCCAGGATGTCCAGGTGCTGTGGTGGCACTTCCTTATGGAACAAACCTGTGTCATGCAGGTGAGCTCCGGCCTCCTGCTGCTGGAGCAGCCCCTCAGGCCCCTGCCTGGCTCCCAGGCTGCTGGGTGTGAGGGTGTGGAGAGCTCCAGGCAGCTCGGCAGCTCAACCTGGATTTCCTTTGCTGTGAACAAGAGTCTTTGCTGATGTAAAGGAAGAGCTCTGAGGTGCAGGAAAAGCTTATTAGTTGGAACAAATGGAAGGTTTAGGGTTTTTCACTTTTTGAGGGAAAAGGTATGGAAGGGGTCCCAGTGACTTCCCTGTGCTAGTCCCTGAGGTTCCCACCCTCTGTGAATGGTGTCAGCTCTGGACACGGGACTTTGAGCAAAAGCTGGTTTTGGTGGGGGAGTTTGAAAGTCTCAAAGGCCAGCAGCTGGTGTGCCAGTGCTGCAGGGTCTGCAGTCAGGCAGTCTGTGAGCCCTGCAGCCAGAGTCCCCCTGAGCACTGACAGCTGGGCTGGACCATCCTGTCACCAGCCCTGGTCAGCTCGGGACTGTGCCCTTTAGCAGCATGTCCTGGCAACTGTACTTCCATATTTTTTCAGTGATACCGAATCAGATCTGGTTCAAGCATTTTAATTGTAAGCTAATTACAATCTGTAATTGCAGATGATGAGGAGAGAGACCTGCAGAACGACCTGGGGGACTACAGCAAGTCCCGCCTCAGCGAGGGGGTCCTGTAGGCCCCGCTCACAGAGAGCTCAGCCCAGGAAACTGAGGTGCTGCAAAACTGGACCTGTTGTACTCCAGTGTTTCCTGCTTCCAGGGAAGCTGAGGATCAAGTGCCGAGAGTGCTCAGCAGCAGGAGGAGAGGACCCCTTCTGTACATATGTACATATTTGTACTGTTGCAGGTTGTATTAAACCCACATCTTTGCTGTTACATGGAGCTGGTTACTCAGCCTGGTCCTTACCTGTAATAATCCCTACACTTAAACCCAGTCTATAAACACAGGCTGAACTGTTTCTGCCACTTGGAACCTGGAGAACTTGTACAGTTTGTACCTGATGTAACAAAGCCACTGTGGAAGCCATGTACAGCCAAGAACTCCTTTTCTACAGTCCCACCTGTGTGGCAGAGTTGCTGCTCCCCAGTGCTGGGGTTTGTACAGCAGTGAGGATGGCATGTCAGAGGGACTGGGAACTGAATGGTTCAATAACTGCTCCTTCCTCACTGCAGCCCAGCACCACATCCCACTGAACTCCTGTACAGTGACCACATCTCATAGCTAAAGCTGCAGATTTGTAGTAGGATTTGAATAATTCAATACATCCCAAACTAATAGCTCGATTTAAGAGGTGATACAAGTAATTTGCAGCTTGTAGGAAGTCTTTGTGTTAAAGAGGGTGTGTCAGTGAGAGACATGCGATGGAAGGACCAGCCCTTACCCAGGTAAACACGCTGTGGGTGCTGGTGTGCTGTCCCAGAGTGTCCATCCCAGCTCCAGCCACCCCAGTTCATTCCCAGTTTGATGCCCTGATCCTGAACACCCACCACATCCCACGGTTTGGTTTTCTCCATCAGATCTGTAAGTCAGACCCTTTTCTGTATTCTGTGTTCAAGCCCTTTCAGAATTGATGGAGATGATTCCATTGCTCTGCAGCAGTGGGAATGAAGGGGATTCTTCCCCCTGCTCCCCCAAGGGCTCCTGTGGACACAGGCTGTAGGCCCTGATGAGGAACTCATCCCTGTGCTCTGGTGCTGGGCTGAAGTAATGGGTCAGGTTTTCTCCTTGCCAGCTCAGTGAACCTCTTAAATAAAGTTCAATGCTTGTACAATTGTGTTATGAGTTTTAAAGGCAGTTTATTATTACTTCAAGTGTCAATGGCAAAAAAAATTCCCCCCAGTTTCTGCATTTAAAAAGTGGAACTCCAGCTCAGCACTGTGTCCCAGTTCCAGCTGAACCCCGCGTTCTCCAAAGTCCTGCAGCACCACACGGCACAGCTTGGGGAGACCCCCGAATAGAGCTGCTTCTGAAATGTCGAGATTAAACCATTCTGTCCTCACAGCTGCTCTTCCCTTCCCTGCCCATCACCAGGACCATCCCTCCTGGGCTCTGTGCTGAAGGTGGGTTGCTCCATGTTCCTCCTCCTCTGCCTTTTCTTTTTCTTGCATTCCATGTTTTCTCTTTTTTTCCTCTTTCCATGTGAGTGATTACTCTGGTTCACCCTTGTGTGGCCACCCCTGGGGTACTGTGTTCAGTCCTGGGCTCCACAGGGGCTGCTGGTGATGGTCCAGGAGGCCCCCAGGCTGGTGAGGGGTCTGGAGCACCTCTCCCCGCAGGAGCTGCGGACCGTGGGCTCACAGCTGCCCTGCAGCCGGGCTCTGCAGCGCCCAGGGTGACAAACCAGCTCGGGTTTGTTGGGAAATGCAGCTCAGACATCCCTGTGCTTAGTGTGGAGCTCGCTGCGTTGCCACGGCAATGGCACACGGACAACGCGGACAGACCTCGAGCAGCTGCTTCCCGAGCCTGGGAATCCCACCGGCTCTCCTCACATTCCAGGTCCGCAGCAGAGATCCAGCAAAGCCTCTTCCCACCGCACCACGGCCGGCCCGCCCAGGTAGCCCCAGCAGCACACCCGCTCCCTCTGAGGCTCCAAATCCCTTCGGATCCACGTGGCAGAGCTGACATTGGGCTGCCAGCGCTGAGGGATGAGTTCAGGCAGTGTCAGAAATGCAGGCACCTCCACCCCACAGCCAGAGAAACAGCTCCAGTCACTCCAGCCAGTCCTAGCTGCCTGCTTTTGGAGACTGTCAGCAAACAGACTCTGCCAAAGCTTTCCCGAAGTCACATGGATCCCACAAAAACAAAGAATCACTGGTGAACCCATTTTAATTTCAAAATGAGGAAAACCAAACTGATGGGCAGGATCTTGTCAAAAGGTCAAACCCAGTTCTGGATGAAACAAACCCCTGTATTTTTTCAGCATTTTAATAGCCGTGAAGAGCTAAAGATACTTTGAGGTGTCAAGAAACAAACAGATGAGAGATAATGGTTTGTGGATTTTATTAAATGTTATCAGTTTACATTTTCATATATGCAAACCCAGCAACAGTGGGAAATCCAAAGCCTGCAGGACAGAAGATCTGGTGAGTGAGTGTTCTGCAGTAGTACATACAAAAAGTACAAAATGTTTTCTTCTCTATAAATCTATTTACTGCCCCTGTTTACAGTTTGCACACTGGATTGAACAATGCTCATTCATGTGGTGGTTTTGGAGGTCCTGAGCTCTCAGCAGGACCCATTTCCCATTTCCTATACACACACACAAACTCTCTATCTGAAAACTTTCTCCTTTATTCGTATTAAGGAGAATTTCCACATGCCATAAATCTGTCAGCTGCAATCCCTGCTCCGGGAGATACAGAGTGCTTTCAGCAACCTGGCACCCAAGTAGGGAAATTCCAGCTGAAGGAACCTGGGACCCTTCCTTGAGGAGGCTGACCAAAATACTTGATAGGAACAAATCTTGCTGCAACGAACTAGAAAATGTGAGATTAGGCACTTTATAAGGAGGAGCAGTGTCCTGCTGTTCCAGCTGGCTCCAGCACTCAGGAGACCTGATTTCTGTAGTTTAAATAAAACAGGAAAACAAACCCACAAAACCAACCAGGGCCATCTCTCCCTATTTATGAGAGTGCAGTGGAATTTTCAAGCCAGCCAGAAACACAGTAGTGATATTTATGCCTGAACACTTTTATGCCAATATAGAAACCATAATACTCCCAATTCCTCAACCTATATGAAAGCTGTGTAGCCACACTGGGATTACTGGGATGGATAATCTACAGTTCAGCTTCCCAAGGCCTGCTGGTGGCTGTGCATTTCCATCCCTGGAGGGATGCCTCATGCCACTCCAGTGCTGCACTGTGCCAGATCAAACACACGGCTCGTTCTGGGTGTTTCTGTGGGGACTGGGAGCAGATGAGTGCCTGTTGCTGTCAGCTGCAGTGTCTGCAGGGAGAACAGCGAGTCTGGAGCTGCTCCTGGACAGCCAGATTGGCTCCCAGACGCCGGGGATGGAGCAGCAGCACAGCCTGGGAGCTGCTTCTCTCAACTCTGCTCACTATCCAACGGAACTGATCCTCTTTGGAAAGGCAACAGGAACGGCAAACACTGGAAATGGGCAACAGTAACATATAAACCCAAAGAAGACTCCTGGATTTGCTGAGAAGTGCCAGATGCTGAAGTTAAACTGCAACTGGAGCTGGAATAAACCCCACCCAGCCCTGAGTTGCAGATGCTACAAAAACCTGCTCCACATGAGCTCTGCCCCATCAGGGAGCTCACTCTGGAGAATGTTGGTTTATATGATGTACAAACACAGAGCTAAGGGCTCTGCAAGGCTCAGGGGACAGAGCTGGGAGGAAATCCTCAGCCCTGAGGAATGGCCTTCAAGGAGCAGTGGGGATCCCACTGCAGGAATGGGCAGTGTTCTGACAAGTGCACATTTCCCTTTCGGTTTCTCTGTGAAGTGAAGCAAACACGCTCCTCAAATGTCGCAGGAGCCCGGATCCCCTGGCCAGGGGAAGCCCAGTGCTGCCAGCTCAGCCCTTTCCTTGGCCCAGACACACACTGCGAGCTGCCCAGGCTCCGTGTGCCGGCACAGGGCTTTCACACTGCCCACTCGGGGCTGGGGCTGTGCTCTGTGGGGAGCAGGGTACAGCAGGGGACTCTGAGCAGCACAGCAACACCATCAGCACGATGGTTTTCCATATTCCCTTTCCTGCCAGTCCAGCCCCTTCTCCCTAATTCAGCACCAGGGAACTCGAGCACGAGGCGCTGTGAAAAACAAATTTTGATATCCTGTTACCCAGAAAAGGGCAGTGCTCACTGCCATAAAGATCAGTTTGAATCCTGAGTCACACATTTAATCTCTTGTCAGAGTGTTTTTGGCCGTGCTGGTGCTCACACAAATATCTGCTTGCTTTGAATCTTGCTGGATCAGCTCCTCTGGACGCTCGTTTCATTTTAATTACATGGCTTGAGAGAGTATTTCCACCCACCGTTTCCCAAAACTCCCACTTTCTAAGTACCAGTGACTGTCCTTTTGGGGTAACAGTGTGAGACATCACACAGTTATCCTGTCATACAGGTTCCTCCTCAGGGACTGCCAAAACATCTTAATGAGGCTCCAACATGCCCAAACTAACCTTTTTCACAGCTGATCATTCACAAAATATCCACAAGAAATACTTGAATGCTCTAAAGGAATATGGTTCCCTGTTCTGAATGAGTTTCCACTGCTTTCGTACTACCTCTTTCCTATGGTAAAATTAGCTTTATAGTGTCTTCTGTTAAAGACAGAGTAGTACGGTCCTGTGACAGAATTCTAAAACAAATCTTGGCTTCACAGCAGCAGATGCACTTCTCTTTAACAAGCCAATAAATATTTTAGGTGACTAGAGAGCTGGGACTTCTATAATCTGATCCAAGTTCAAAAGCTAAGCAGGGAGTCAACAGGTACGAGGAAACACAACACCCGTGTAGGTTTCTTTACTGCTAAATTAGAGGATGCCAGACACTCCTGTAAAACCTTCCATTCTGGGCAGTACCTTGAGATGTTATCCAGTCATAACACAGGTGAACCTGAGAACTGATTTCTGTTACAAAGACTGGTAAGTAAAAGTGATTATCAAGAGAAAAATTAAGATATCTAAATTCAGTAGCATTGAGACAAGAAATGTAACATCACCACATCCTCATACTACAAGAGGTGGCCAAGCTGCTTCATTAAGCCCTTTAAAGAGTAAATCACGCAGCATCCTCAGCATTTCCCACACAAAGAGGCTGCCTAGAAGGAAAAAACAAAACAAAAACAGAAAGCGGAAATAAAACTTCACAACAGACTCCACAGGCGACTTAAAAACAGCAACCGAAACCGCAAGCCGGCAGTGCCCTACGCTTCGGGGATGGGACGGAGGGCGAGGCGGCAGGGCCGGGAGCCGGGAGCGCCCGGGGGAGCCGCGGCGGGCGCGGGGCTGCGCTGCCCGTCCGTCCGTCCGTCCGTCCGTCCGTCTGTCTGTCTGTCCGGCCGCGGCGGGTGCTGCCCGGCGCTGCCGCTGCTCCCGGGGAGCGCGGGCAGGGCCGGGACTGGGGCAGGGCCGGGACTCGGGCAGGGCCGGGACTCGCTCGTCCCCCGCCGTCCCCTCAGGGCTCCCCCTCTCCCTTCTCTCCCTTCTCCCCTCACCGCTCCCCCTCTCCCGTCTCCCCTCACCTCCCGGTGCGGCGGCGCGGCCCGGCCCGGCCCAGCGCGGCCCGGCCGCGCCTCCTCCGCCGAGCACCGCTGCTGCTGCCCGTCCCGCCGGTCCCCGTCCCGCGGCCCCGCCGCCGCCGCCGCCGCCAGGCCCCGCTCCGCTCCGCTCCCTCCTTCCCGGCCTGCCCCGGCCCGGCCCCCTCCCCCGGCCGGGCGCGCCTGCGCGGCGGCCCCGCTGCCATCCGGGTCCCTCGGTGCGGTGCAGCGGGTCGGTAGGCGGGAAATGGCGACTGAGCGCTGAGCGCCGAGCGCCCGGAGCGCGGACCCGCCGCCGCCGCCGCCCGCCCCCTCCGCCCGCCCGGCCGCCCGCCCGCCCGCAGCGCGGCCCCGCGGCGCCGCTCCCCGGCCCCCGCTCCCGCAGGTGAGTGACGCGGCGGAGCCGCGCGGGTCCCAGCCCGGGATCAGGTGGGGGCGCGGGGTGGCCGCTCCGAGTGACCGGCGGGATGTCCCCTCGGGGCCTGCCCGCGGCGGGCCCGCTGCCCGCCGACACCGCGCGTCCGCCCCGCTCGCCCGCCGCGGCCGCTCGGAGCCCCGGGCGAGCCCCGGCCGCAGCCCTGGCGGGGCGGCCCTGCCGCGGGCAGCGGCGGAGCGGTGTCACCCCGCCTGACACCCCCCGCCCGCCCCGCCAGGCCCGGGCCTGCGGCGGGTCCCGCCCGCCCGGCCCGTCCGCGCCCGGGGCCGGGCCGAGCCGCAGCGCGGCGGGGCCGAGCCGCGCGGGTCCCGCGCAGGACGCGCCTGTTGCTGGCGGTGCGCGGCGCCGGACGCGCTGTCAGCGGCCCCGGGGCGGCGGGACGGCTCCGGCTGCCCGGGCACGGCTCCCGCCGCCGGCTCCGCGGATGGCAGCGCGCCGGGAGCGCCAACTTTGCCGCCGGCACCGGCACGGTGCGGGACCCCCGCCGCCCGGGGCCGTTATTGGCATTCCCGGTCCCCGCTGGGAAGGCGGCGGAAGGAATTAGCGAGCCGCATACCACATTGATTATCTGCTCGCTCGGCGTTACTGGAGAGCACTGTACGAGCCTGTTGCTCAATTTTATGGTACTTAAGAGCGCTCGAGAGGACAGGTCTGGCTGTTTGTGTCAGGCTGTTTGGGTGAGCTCGAGCCTGGGTCTGTCCAGGGCACTTCGATCTCTGTGGTGACAGTTGTGATGCTTTTTCTGGTCCCAAGCCTATTGTTTCTGGGAGGGATTTTCCATCGTCTTCCAGATGCTCATGGTGCACTTCTAAAAGTAATTTCGAGTTTGTCGTTATTGTCTTAGCCTTTGTTGACATGTTTCCACTGTTAGAGTAGCCCGTGAGGAGGATCTCCAAGTGTAACTATTACTCTGTTGCCTTGGGCAAGCGACAACCTCTTTTGCCGTTTCTCCACGAGTGAAATGGGGATAATAATACCTTGGAGAGTTGTTACAAGAAGTAGTTAATGTTTGTAGAGGACTTAAAAGACCTAAGTGTTATTAATTAAGCCCCATGACACATTAAGGTAAGAGTTAGCGAGCAAGGTTTGCACATGGATGAACTGAGGCAGGAAGAGATTATGATTTAGCCAGAGTAACGTCCTGGATCTGTGACAATAGCAGAAAACAAGTTGTAACTACTTCATGCTGTAGGCACAAGGGAGCCGTTCTGGATAACAGATAGGATTCCAAGATACTTGCCCCTCCCTCGCCCCCCCTCCCAAATTCAGGCTTTTCTACTTTAGGAGGTTCTGCCTGTGTGACTTCCAGTTGACTGGATAGCTCCAAGGACACTTATGGCTTGCCCACTTAAAAGTGTTTCAGCAGTTTTCATAACAAGATATATGTTCTAGGATGCTAGCCAAATCCTGACTGAAATTCCATGAAACATTCTCCTCTTTTCCCCTGAAAACATCGTGTGGAACTTAGTTTTGATCCTGTTCCAGTCAGTGCAGTGTGCAGTAAAGCTGACATTCCTGTTCCATCAAAGTTCCTTATTAAAGAAGAATTCCCCTGTCAGTCTGCCCTGGAGATTGAATGGGACAGTTGGGCCGTTTCTCTAAGGATGTAAACATTCCACATATGCTGGGGCTGTACGTGCGTTTCATGATTGAAAGGTGATTTTCCATCCCCAGCCTAGCACCGCCAGTGTTGGTGACTCCCTTCCAGGGTGATGATTCCCAGCACGAGGATGTGACACTGGCAGAGGCTCAGTAGCATTAAGCAGTTAAAAAAACAGAAAAAGTTGTCAGGATTCAAAAGGAAACTGAGGCTTCACCATCCCAAGTTTTACCATTCTGCATTGGCTTTTCTCTGATCTCGTGCCATGCTGTGAGGTTGACACCAACAGAAATCGTGTTTGCAGGAGACTTTGGGAATCACATATGTTCTTTTGACAGATTTCTCTGCACATATTTCCCTCCACTGTGGAAGTTTCTTCCACAGGTGTAAGGGGAAGAACAACTTGGGGCACTTGCACATTTTTATAAAAACCATTCTGAAAGTCAGGCTGAACAATTTTGGCAAGAACTTGCAAGAAAAGCTTGAGCAGGGGGATTGCACAAGAGAAACTCCAGAATTCCCTTCTTACCTCAGCCATTCTGGGAGTCTGTAAAAGCATGATGCATGAAGTAGGGCTGGAATTTGACATAAATTTAAAATTCCTGTGTATTTCTAGACATGTGTATGCTCTGAGAGGAGCTTGAGGCTTCTGGCCTTGGGGTTCCAGAGCACCATTGTGATCGTTTAGGACCACAGCTGGATAAGCAATCACAGAACCCTGAAAGTGCCTTTTCCAGGTTATGGGTGTGCAGCTGTGCCCTGTCCAAGCCCTGTCCAGGTTCTGCCCCATCCGTGTGCTGTCAGCCTGCTCTCCCCAGGGAAGCAGTTCTGATGGGTTTTGGACTTTGGCAGTGTCGCTGCAGGACCAGAGATGATCCCACATTTAAAGCTGCCCCTCGCACGTGCTCCCTCTGGGGCTGCATCCTTATTCCCTAATTCCTGGGGAGTGTTCTTCTCCACAAGGGCCTTTCTCATTCATCACTGACAGTAGATCAGATGTGGTGATCCTTTCTCCTCAGAGCCCAGAAAGTAAAGGACCAAGTCTGAATGAAATCCCTTCACTTGCTGGCCCCTGAGTCGCTGTCACCGTCTCCTGTGTATTTTAAAGAGCAGATTGGTTTTTGTCGGTTGTATGTGAAAAGTTCCTGTGGTTCTGCTCGCAGCTCTGGGGTTCCCAGCACAGGAGGGACATGGACCTGCTGGAGGGAGTCCAGAGGAGACCACCAAGGTGATCAGGGGGATGGAGGAGCTCTGCTGTGGGGGAAGCCTGGCGGAATTGGGATTGTTCAGCCTTCAGGGTGATGTCATTGTGGCCTTCCAGGACCTGAAGGAGCCAGCAAGAAGGATGGAGAGAGACCCTTTACAAGGGTCTGGAGTGACAGGACACAGGGAATGGCTCCCACTGCCAGAGGACAGAGTTAGATGGGATATTGGGAAGGAATTCTTCCCTGTGAGGGTGTGAGGCCCTGGCACAGGTGCCCAGAGCAGCTGGGGCTGCCCCTGGATCCCTGGAATGTCCCAAGCCAGGCTGGACAGGGCTGGGAGCACCAGGGACAGTGGGAAGTGTCCCTGTCCTGGCAGGGCATGGAACAGAATCAGCTTTAAGGTCCCTCCCAACCCAAACCATTCTATGATTTTGTGATTTGATGTTTGTACATCCCAACTAAGTCTTCAGAAAATGCAAATACGCACCACAAGTGCAGAGTTGATTAATCACATCCATGATGGGCTGTGATTTTCAGGGGGCAGACTGTTCAGATGGAATCATTGCTGGCATCCTGGGAGGGAGGAGCAGGCTCTCACAGCTGGTTCAAGAGGAGCTCTCCCAGCAGGATGTGGCAGTGCCAGCCCCACCGAGGGCTCTGTCCCGGGGGAACTCCCTGGAGTGCCACGGAGCCGCAGCGAGGTGCAGCTCTTCCGATTGCTTCGGAGAAACTCACGTACAGCCGGGTGCTTGAAAGCCTATCTGACATGTTGTTTACATGTTGAGATGCCTAGATGGCCATTATTTAGTGTTTTAGAAAAATAAATATTTGACATTCACAGATGAAGACATTTTCAATAGCACTTGAAAAATTAAGTGGGAAATCATCCACATCTAAAGCAATCAGCTCAGGGGTTGGGTCGGAGCTTCCCAGTTGGCAGTCCTAACTTTTTCTAAATAAATTATTTCCCAATCAGATCAGTTTCAGTAATTACTTTGATTAAGGTGCTCTTAACTTCTTAAATGATAAGTTCTCTCATCATATCCTGTGATCCAAGGAAAACCCTTGTCAGGACAATCTGCTGTAAGAAAACAGGAGCTGAGCATCAGCCTGCAGTGCGCTTCCACCTCTGCACCACTGCGGGGTCCGTGAGGAGGCACAGCCTTTGCTGCCTCAGTTTCCCTGTCTGATGGGTCAGTGTTGTGGTGACCCCAGGATCTGTGGCCAAGCCCAGCAGCAGCTGCTGGACAGGATCAGCTCAGCAGCACATTGATCTCTGCTCTATTGGGACATTGAAATACAGCTCCCCATTCAGAGTCCAGCCCCATCAGTCAGATTTCTGTGCATCCTGCTAAAAATAACCCTAAAGCCACATTTAGGAAGTGCCTGTGCTGCATTAGATCCAGCAAGGATCCACTGCCCGCCGAGTGATGCTTCTGCTGGAGTTACATAGGAAAGAGATGATGGAAATAGAAGTTATTCCTAACAGTCCTAACCTGCCTGAATTCAGAATTCGTTTTTTGTGGCTGAGGAGTCTAGTTAGGATGCATGAAACACCTCTGGTTCTGTGTCCATAGTATTTAGTGTAGCAGTATAATTTTAAGTATAATACTGTCATGAAAATAAGTTTAAGTAAAAGGAGCTGTTAACTCCACAGCATCTGGAAAATAAGCTATGGATACTTACTTAAAGGAGCATAGTTAGAAAAAATACATCCTGCTAGTCATTGCTAATATTCCAGGTGTAAGTAGGAGAAAAGAATCTAGGACTCTAAAGCATTTGGATTAGAAGTTACCTGTAAATTAATTACCTTATATGTATAAACAAGAGTGTTGTTAGCAGCAGAATAGGGCCAGGCAGCTGATGCTGCAGGGCTCATTAGCATCCTCAAAGCCTCACAGGGAAGGCAGGGATCCTGTCCTTATTTAGGCTGTGTTTGGGAGTAGCTAATTTAAGTTAATAAAGTAGCAGGAACTCTGATCAAATCAGAGCAGTTGTTCTGAGCAGTTCGGCCTGTGCTGCACCAATTCAGTCTAAATCATAACTCAGTTTACCCTAGGCCATTCTAACCCACGATTGCTTTGATTTACCCTGTACTTTAGGAGGTGCTAATTAGTGGAAGGGAGGTAATTCAATCTAAGGCT